TATAGATAGATAGATAGATAGATAGATAGATAGATAGATAGATAGATAGATAGATTAGATAGATAGATTTCTCCGGTGTAACAGAAATCAAAAGCGGGTAAAAGTTAGCCAAAAGCAGACATCGAGACGGTCCGGAGCAACAGGCAAGGAGAAATACTTTCTGACTCTGTGTAAAAATTCATAGATTTGGTGCCATCTGTTTTGTCCCAACAATTGCTTTTAGATTCTGGAATCAGTGGAGGGTTATTGACAGGGACTTTGGCTATCCCAGTTTAATAAAAGGGGGTGCCGGGCGATCCTTCCTTTGGTCTGCACCGGTAAAGAAACGATTTGAGGGGGACGATGTATTATCCAACGTTGCAGGAGGCAGAAGAATGAGAGCAGGAACCCTATCTTTTCACTCCCATTCTCACTACTGACCTTTCATGACTTCTCCTTGGGATTAAAGTGAGGTGTTTTTGTGTGCCTTACAAATGCTTCCCCAAGCAGCAAGAAGTGCAGAGACTGTAATCCTATATTTGGGTATGAGAGGACATGGTCAGCAGCTAAACCTCCATAGAAGAAATGGCTGGATGGGGACCTCTGCTCCAAGTATGTCCCCCCCCCCTCCCTGCCCATCTCCCAAATCCTCAATGGAAGCTTCCATGGGATGCTGGCATTGGATTCTTGGTTTTGTCTGCTTTTTAAAAATTGTTCTTAGCCGCTCAGAATCATATTTTCGCTCTTAAAGTTTAAATATGATCTGAAAAAAATGCTATGCTTATCGTACAATTTTGGGGATAATGCAGTGTAAAGGCGCCAAAAAGCAAGAATGCCTCTAATGGCAAGCACTATGATTTAAATGCAAAATGCACTGACTCGTTCATGGGACGAAGGCCCAACTTGCCCTTTACAAGGAATTGTTGGGACAAAACAGATGGCATTGATCTGTGGCATCCACCACATCTATGAATTTTTACACAGAGTCAGAAAGTATTTCCCCAATAGGTTTGTGCTTCTTCTAGTTGACATATTAAACAGACTGGCAAGTAATGGTAGAGTAATGGTCTTGGCTATCAGCAGTTGAGTGTGGATATAAGGGTTTATAGGCATTATATCGAATGGGAGGCATTAGCCAGATATTAAAAATACAGATTCTGGGGGATGGAAGGCAGCCAATAGGGAATGTCACTATGCTATCTCCTCACACATGTTCCCCTACTAAGAATCTACATATTTTAGACACTCTTTAAATTCACAAAAAGAAAATACCCATCAAAAATAACCTAGATATATATTGGTAAATAATACCTCCATTATGTTGTTCAACTGAAATATGTAGATTCTTAGTAGGGGAAAGTAAGGACTATCTCCTTACTTTCCCCTACTAAGAATCTACATATTTCATAGTGACATTCCCTATTGGCTGCCTTCCCTCCTCCAAGATTTAAAGTATTTAAATAAATTAGAATATGTGGACCATGAATCTCCAATATGTTGTGGTTACAAGGTAAATGCCAAGTGACACGAAACTTTATAATATGTAGTTATGATATATATAGACATTTTAAAAAATGAAGTATCTGATATCCAATTTAGGAAAATTTCAGCTAATGCCAAATGTGAGAAAGTTCTCCAACAAGACACAGTTCTCAGAATTTTTTTTTTTAAGTTTCCCAAAACAAGAGATTCCAGAGGCTGGTCTAAAAGAGCTACTTCTGTCTTAATGGGAAAGTTTTGTCCTTCCAATCTCCTATTTGCATTTTCAACAGGCCACTCAAAGATAGTAAAGCTGCTTGTGGAACATGGTGCTCGCCTGGCTTTACGAACTGAGGCAGGTTGGACTCCAGTTCATTTTGCTGCAGAATCGGGGCAACTGGGTGTGTTGAGAACACTGCACTCCTTGCATGCACCAATGGATGCCCCAGATCTCTATGGAGATGTCCCAAGAAGACTTGCAGAAATCTATGGGCACAAAGCCTGCGTCAAATTCTTGGAAATGTAAGCAAAGGTATTGGCAAGAGAATTAAGGCAGCTGTCCTTGTAATTCTAGTTTGTGGTGAAGCAACATGGTGGGCAAATGAAATTATCAAAACAATTCAAATTGATGTTATCCCAATCAGTCAATATAAAAAATCTGCTTTTTTTTTTTAAAAGCCCAATCAAATCACATATTAAAGATTTTTCAAAATTGAAACCTTTCTAAATGATATTAAAAGAGAAGCCAGCCAAATCTACTGTAGGAGTAATATTTTAGAGCAACGGCATAAGATCCGCACCTCTCCTATTTTTTTACATTTACAGATCATATAGTTTGGGATGAAGGGATAATGAGCAGGGTTTCTGAGAATGATCTTAAATCAACTCAAAATGTTGGGGCTTTAAAGCCCAAGAACTTTTTGCACAGCAGCATTAATCTATTTAACTCGGCCGTTCTAAATTTTCAACCTTTTCCTCCCATTTTCACCACATTACACTTACCAAATCTCTAGTTAGTTGGATGTCCCTGCTTCTTTCCCCCCAATACACGTTGGGAAAACAAACAATTAATTGTTTTTCCTTTGGGACCTGCTCTTTCCATTCAGAGTCTGAATTTTGATCACGTGACCATGGGGATTCTACGGTTGCGTGAAAAAACGGTCATAAGTCACTTTTCTCAGTGCCATTGTAACTTGGAAGAGTCACTAAATAAATGGTTGGAAGTAGAGGAGTACCTGTACGCTTTTTTATGTCTTTCTCCCCAAAACAACCTCTTCCTCATGTTTGACACTTTCTTGTCTGATTCATCCTCTCTCATGTTCTATGAGGAACTCTCCACTGCTTTAAAATCCACAACGCTGTTCAAGAAGTAAAATCTAGTTGGAATGAGAATAGTAATTGTACTAGAAAATCTTTATAGCAATAGCAGTTAGACTTATATACCGCTTCATAGGGCTTTCAGCCCTCTCTAAGTGGTTTACAGAGTCAGCATATTGCCCCCAACAACAATCCGGGTCCTCATTTTATCATCCACGGAAGGATGGAAGGCTGAGTCAATCCTGAGCCGGTGAGATTTGAACAGCCGAACTGCATAACTGCAGTCAGTTGAAGTAGCCTGCAGTGCTGCATTTAACCACTGCGCCACCTCGGCTCTATGAGTGAATTACCTCCCACTTTCTGTTTGCCTAAATAAGCATTCAGTGATGTTGCCTTCATTGGTGTTAAAACAATATTTTTCTGTAGCGTTGAACTGAATTGAAGGAATTTTCCCAGATTTTATTGCATTGGTGTCCTCTTGGTTTTGAGAAAGCAAAGTCAAAGCTATTTTGTTTTTAATTCATTTTAGAACTGAGGTCAAGAAGCTTATGGTCAACACGGATGTAATATCCCCCATTTATCAATTATCCTAAATTGTTTCCTCTTTCCTTTTGATCTAGAGCTGAAATAGAATACAGGGCATATTGCCAGATGGCAAAATCAAAGGGAATCCAACTGGATGAGAAGGATGATGCTTGGGAGCTTAAGAAGGAAGAACTTTTGAAAAGCAAACCCTTCTCTCCAAAGAAACATTTGAAACACAAGATGCACAGAAAGGATGGTGTGCCTTCAAGAAAACAGTAAAAAGAATGGTATATTCCAGATAAGCTAGACAAGAAGGTCTCATCTACCTTAACTGTGTAGTCATTGCAATTCATTTCATTTACTATTTTTCTTACTTTGAACTAGTTAGTCACCATCTCAGTTTAAGAAATTTTTAAAAACATATATGAAAAATGCTATTTTTATATGCGTTTTGCCTGGTAAACTACTTTTGCACACTTGTACAATATATTCATATTTTTAAGATTTCCTCTAATAAAGTTTTGTGCTTTATGACAACAGTATGTATAGCTTTGCTGTAATATTCTGTTAATATTTGTATTAACATTAAGGTCAGTATTAATATTTACTATTTTTATTTTATTAGTGTTTTTGGCCTTGGTTTAATTGGAAGATGCTGCTGCAATAGCCAAAGTGTGAAACAAGGTTGCACTAAATGCAGATGAAAATTATTTATCTTGCTTTTTAATGTATATAAAGAAACCTTACATTTATATTCACTGTTAACAAATTGTCTGAAGATAAACATGAGAAAGATGCAGACAGTTGGAATATTGTGCATTAACAGGATGCTAGGTTAGGGTTTCAAACATTTTAAATTGGGGATATTACCTTAATATTATTTTATAACATATTCTCTGTTTTTTACATATTTTGCATATAGAATATCTTACAGTAAAGATAGCAAGGGCTGGGTTACAGCATGTTGGAAGTTAATACTTCAGAAGGACCATGAGGCCTGCTCTTTTGTTATCCTTTATGTTTAATACTTACAGCCTTGTAAACAAGGTGCTTGGATAAGAAATAAGGGGCTATGATAATAGGGTAAAATTGAATTATATTCTAAACGTTTGAAATGTATAAAGAACTTAGGATTTTCTGTGTGGACAGCAATTAAGAAGATGGCTTTACACCAATGGAAAAAGCTAGCATGAAGGACATGTTCAAATGTTCTACAGATTTATCAATTTACTACAGTCAATATGGAAAGCCTTGAGTGCTGTCAGTTTTGCACAGTAGAGTTCATGGGAAGGTAGAGAAGTTCTAAAGTACACATTAGAAGCTGGATCAAGAGCTTTCTATGTATGACATAAATGCATGAAAGCGCTGACGGGGGGGTGGGGGGAGGCACCAATTTTATGAGGGAATGTCTTGTGAAAATCAGCCTGTCTGTTTGAATTTCCTGGATGGGTATTGAGTATTCATGTTGAATATTCCAATATCTCTCTCGGCATAAGACCAGGTAACAGTGTTTTCACTGGTTCTGCCTTGTGAAACATTTTTAGTAGGAGTGGCCCCAAACTGAATTTTTTAGGAAACTAAATATATGTTTGCTTGTGAGCTTCACAGTTCTGTTTGGAAGACCATCACAGATTGCTGGAGAAACTATTTTTATTGCTAAAAATTATCATTCATAAGTGGATGACACCACGAAGAAGAAAAAGCTAGAGATCCTAGTGCTATCAAGAATTAATAAATGGATTTCAATTCCCTATGTCACTTCAGTATAACTATGAAAACATTCAGTGACTTTATCTATTTCCCACTTTTATTATTTTTATAAATAACTCAAGATGATTAACATATTTAACACATCTTTCTCCTCCTATTTTCACTACCACAACAATCCTTTATAGTGAGTTGGACTGAGAGAGAATGACTGGCCCCAAATCACCCAGCTGGCTTTCATGGCTAAGGTGGGACTACAAATCACAGTCGCTCAGTTCCTAACCTGGTACCTTAATCGCTAGACCAATAACAACCTCAACAGCTAAGAAATCCAAGCATTTTATAGCTAACCATAAAAGCCCAGCCATTCTTGGAGCTTTGCCCCCTTGCTTATCATTCTTTTGGGATATCGTTTATGATGGCAATAGGTTTCAAACAGCCTTGCTTTTTTCACTGGAAATAGAGTAGAGTAGAAGAGAAAAAAATAATAGAGTTGGAAGGGACCTTGGAGGTCTTCTAGTCCAACTCCCTGCCTAGGCAAGAAACCCTATACCGTTTTAGACAAATGGCTATCCAATAGCTTCTTAAAGACTTCCAGTGTTGGGGCATTCACCACTTCTGGAGGCAAGCTGTTCCACTGATTAATTGTTTTAACTGTCAAGAAATTTCTCCTCAGTTCTAAGTTGCTTCTCTCCTTGATTAGTTTCCACCATTGCTTCTTGTTCTACCCTCAGATGCCTTGGAGAATAGTTGGACTCCCTCTTCTTTGTGGCAACCCGTGATATATTGGAACACTGCTATCATGTCTCCCCTAGTCTTTCTTTTCATTAAACTAGACATACCCAGTTCCTGCAACCGTTCTTTATATGTTTTAGTCTCCAGACCCCTAATCATCTTTGTTGCTTACATTTGCATGTGGTTCCTTCTCCTTTTTTCTCTGGTGGACGAGTGAAAGGCTAGTTTTTTCTTCTGTTTTATGAAATGCTGTGTGTGTGTTTTAAAGAGATGAAACTGCCAAAATTTCTACCAGTTTTTTTAAAAAATAGTGGAATCTACCAATTCGGCTCAGAGATTAATGATAATTGCCAT